TGATTCAACCACTCAACCACTAGATGTCGCTGAAAACAACAAATCCTACACACTGTGCCTTTAAGTAAGAAACGCTTTTAAAATCACGCGTGAATACGCTTGTTCTCGCGATAATTCATTACAAACATGGCGACAATGGAAATAAACACATAGCATTTCTACCACGACCCTAGCGCTCAGACGTTGGAGTCTTATCCAGGCTTTCAAGTGACAAGCCCCTTATACTTGGGAGTGGCTAGGTACGCTGCGTTTTGGGGAAAATGTAGTTGGTGGGTGTAATACTTTCTTTTACTATTCGGTGATTTCACTACTACAGTACTTTTACTTTTACTTCCTGTTGTCTTCTTCGTCGTCTTTTCACCAGTAGAAACAACCAGTTCTAGATCACGTGACTCCTGTGATGCAAAAAAAGTGTTTCCATTGCAGTTTTGCGAAATACATCAATTTCGATACGGCCAAAAAACCACCGCTTCCTAGCGCAAAAACATTTTGTTGAAAAACATATTTTTTTTCTAAATTGACGTGTTTCCATTGAGCAAATTTATTTTCGAAATTCTAATTTGCGCATTTTCAAGGTCAATGGAAACGCAGCTAATGAAACTGACCCCAAACAGAAAGGAAACATGGGCACCCTTTGCTGTTTTAAGTTCTTCGGTGTGTCTTTCCTCAGCCTGTGACCCTTTATGGCTCATCCATGCTGGGGGGGTCAGCTCCAGACGGTCAGCCTCTGGAACTGGAGGGTGCTTCTCGACCTGGCCTCGTCACAAAGACTGGCCTCGTCCTGTTTGGGACTGATGGGCAAGCTGTGAGTTTGATTTGCTACTAAACAAACATCCAACACAAACAGGCCACTGTGTCACTGTGACCTCCCGTCTTGTTGTGTTTTATCTGTGGGCTGTTTGATCTGCAGCTCCTCATCAAGAATCTGCAGTTTGAAGATGGGAAGATGATTCCTGCCTCCAAATACTTCTCTTCTGGAGAAAGCTCCAGCGTGGAGCTGRACGACGAGGAGAAGAAGATGGCAGAGGAAATCAGGGTCAGCCTGCTACAGTGTTTCTTGTTTTTATATAGACAATGTACAACTTAGCACAATGAGGTAAATATTTGTTCTTTCTTTAACTGAAGACTATCTGGAGGGGCATTCTCAGCAACGTTCCAACCATTGAAGACACCACAGACTTCTTTAAGTCCGGAGCAGCCTCCATGGATGTTGTCAGGTGAGGAAGGTGAAGGTGGGCTGTTCTAAACAGGTCATTAAAGCTGCTCTTTAATTTGTCTCAAATTTTATATTCCCAAATTCTTAGATTTTAGTTAACTTTTTATTACTTTTGCCTCAACAAGTAAATAAACTCTTCTCAGTGTTTCCCCTAGGAAATTGGTCTTGGGGGGGCTACATGTTTTATAAAAACATAAATTTGTGTGACTCACCTGCAATTATGGCAATAAATTTACACATACATGAATATTTAATTGCCT